GCTGGCTGAGGAATTCTGGGAGTTGAAGTCCACAAGTCTTAAAGTTGCCAAGGTTGGACACCCCTGCTTTAGGTGATTTCTGAAACGAGTTCACACTTTTTGGGGAGCGGTGGGGGTGGAAAAGTATGCTGGCCAGGGATAACTTTGGATTGCATGAACACATCAGTTACCCAGCGAAGAGTCTGCGTTTGCTTTTATTGGAGTACCAAGTTCTAAATAAGGAATAAGGAATCTGTAGTGCTTCAGATAAATTTGAAGTGTTGTCTTTGATGATAGAGGCTGATGGAATCTTTCCTGTTTCTGTTTAAAGGGGGAACGTGAGGCTGGTTTTACCTTAGAAAATTGCAAAATGGAGCTCTTGGCGGGAAAACCAATTAGCTTCAAATTCTTGCCAATGAACTTTTCCCACAGAGGTGTCTCCTGCCTTGTAACTTGGCTACTAATATGTAATCTAGATCAGGGCTCGCCAACCTTTTGGACCTCATGGACCACCAAACTCATAGCTTTAAATCCCGCGGACCACTAATATGAATTTTGACTGACGGTGGCTTGCTGACATTTTCCCAGGGTCTCTGCAGAAAGCAGCAGAGACCCTGGGAAAATCCCCAAAAAAGTCTGCAGGAAAATTCCCCACCCCGTTTTCCTACCGATTGATCATTATTTGGGATCGCAGGATACCGTCTCCAGCTCCGTTCTCAGGGAGGGAGAGAGAGACTTTTGGCTTCATGCAAGGAAAGCAGCAGAAGTCTTTCTTTCTCTCCCACAAACTTCGCCAGAATGGCACAGCCTCTTGGAGCAGGATGCCTTGCCAGGGTCCCAAAATCTCATTTCTGGTGGAGTTTGGTGGGGGGAGAAAGGAAGACTTTTGCTGATTTCCTTGCATGCAGCCAAAAGCAGAAGAAAGAAGCGGAAAGAAGCAGCCCAGTGGCCAGGCAAGATGCATGGGGTGAGTGGGGCAAGTCCCCCCCCCCTTCGCCCTTTCCACCCTCCCCTCACTACCTCGTGTTGTTCACAATGCAAGCTACGCAAGCCTTATGTTCCCGTGGGCCATGTGGGCAGCGCAGCCTTGTGTTCCCTCACGCAACCTGGATTAATTGCTTTGGGGGTGCTTTGCGGGTGACATTGCACCAAAATTTTCTCGTGGACCATCAGTGGTCCCTGGCCCACTGGTTGGCGACCACTGATCTAGATGGTGGTGACATGAAGGGAATAAAAAAAAAAGATGGCAGTAACAACAACATAATGGAAACCTTTCAGACTTGTGCACTCACAAAAAGGGAAACGCTTGGATTGCAATTTCACACAACCATCGTTTTGTTTATTTTGACCCACGCTCCAGATGCCACTGAACCTTGGCCAATCTTGGCATTGCTTCCCCATAACTATTTGCCAAGAAGGGTACATTAACTCAGAGATCATAAAGATATTTCAGATCAAATTTGCTACTCATATGTTTCCCATGGTTGTTTTTTTTTGCAGTGGGTATCTTTTATCTACCTTGCTAAAGAAAATCTGTGAACCATGGTGCCCAAAAGAATGTAGGAAGAGCTTTGTCTAAAAATGAAGGCCTGGGTTGCTCTCTTTCATAGCTTTACAATGTTCTTTGAATCTCCACAGGCTCTGATACAACAATAATGCCCTGCAACAATCATCGCTGCTAATAAGCTTGGAGATAAAGGATTTTCAGCTAAACGCAACATTTCTGCAAGGAGAGGGAGGTTAGCATGACATCACTCAAAAATGGCTTTGAAGCAATGACTAAGGTAGATGTTTTTCTTCACAAACATGGAGCTCATCACGTTTTCCCACCTGAAAATTTCTCATGTTATGGGCAATTTCAGAGCATCTCTGTTTTAAAGGAATGTTCTTGAAAGACAGAAGGCAAAGAGTTTGGTGCGTTTCCCACAAAGTTGGGCCAGGTGCCTGCTTTGGCAACTTCAGATACCGATGTCTGGCTTGAGACAGTCTGTTGCGAAAAGCAGCTCCAGAATGTTATGTGGCGTCAGGAGGGTTGTAGAGAGAATAATTACCTGGAAAGCAAAAGATATATGCATATATATGGTTAGGATGATCTGCTTTTGCTGCCTCCATCAGTGATGGAAATCTTCAGCAAAAAAAGAGTTGTGGTTCTATGAGCGAATAAACTAACATGGTTATCTCCTCAGCGTACAATTCATAGGCAAACTTTCAATCATCAGAATTGCTGTAATTCAGTAAGTTTATAACTTTATAGCTCCCGCTGTCTTAAGAAAGTTCAAAACATTCTCAAAGACCCATCTCATCCTGGGAACCTTTTTTTTTTGAACTATTACCATCTGGCAGATGGTACAGGATAATAAAAATAAGGACAAATAGGCTGAAAAACAGCTTCTATCCCAGGGCAGTCGCTCTGTTGAATTCTATTGTATAGTGCAATATTAATGCAATATCAGGGGTTTTCAATTCGATGTATAGAATGTGAAGGATGTGTGTTTGTATTTATTTTCATAGTAATAACGTACACTGAAGATGGTATTTAATTTCGTTGTATGAGGTGCAATGACAATAAAGTAAAGTAAAGTAAACTAAAGTTAGTGGTAGGAAGGTTGGGCATTGTGATGATGACGATTATCATTATGGATTGTCTTTATAGTTTCCCCCCATCATGTGCTCAGTGGATGGGAGCCAATGTTGGCCTTTTCCTATTTGAATGGAAGCTAATGTTGCCTATTGAATGTGCGTTCAGTGTTGTAGAATCTGAATCGAAAAATGTACTACTGCTACATTCATGTCTGGAGCACTAAAGTGCTTTTGGGTTGAAAGGATTGAACAGTGATATCACCATTGCCTGAGGGATGCCCAGTTACCTGTCCCCATTAAATTGTTTAAATGGGGGTCTTGTGTCTACTCCACAGTGTGACTGTGGTGCTCCTCGACAAAATATCCATCACATTTGTGTTCGAATGTCCATCCAGAGCTTTCACCAGCCCAATGTCTGATTTTCTTCAACATAGACCATCCTGTCCTTGAATGGTTGGGTGGACTGGACACTGACATTTGAACCACTATAAGTCCATGTATTTGCCATATGCTAAATAAATGCCCACCAAAGTGGTACCCATTTATCTACCCGCAGTTGCCCATTTTCAAACTGCTGGATCGACAGTAGCTGGAGTATGTGAGGAGAGCTCACCCCATCCCGCGAGAGCAACGGGGTCTCAAACGTAAGCCTGCCCGATTGTCAGCCTGGCGTCCTAATCTTGAGAGCCACCGCATGCCTTGAAAAATTTAACATGTGATTTTCTATGCCATCCTTCCTCCTGTTACAAAAAGGGAATTCCAAGGGAATGATTGCCAATTTGATGTCTTCCTAATGAGCTGACATAAGGACAGAAGAGGATGCAAGGGAAGTATATGACAGAAAGTAGGCAAATTGCACAAGTTGTGACTGGAGAGAGAAAAAGATCCATTGCTAAGGCATTGAACAAGTAAACCTGACTTAAGCCCATAGAATGAGAGGGATTTACAAAAATGCCTAAGAGAGGTACCCCTCTAATTTGCATGGATTTAAGAAGGAGGAAGAGACACATCCAGATTCTGTTATTAGAGCCATTCCAATAAAAGTAATTTTAGACCTAGGCAGTGTTTGTTTCTTGATTGTGTAAGGCAGGGGTGTCAAACTCAAGGCCTTTTTGCTGGCAGAGGGCTGCAGGAGGCTGTTGTGACCAAAAATGGGGCCCACGGCTCCCTCAAAAAGAAGGAAAGATGGGAAGAGAGCAAAGAAGGTAAAATAAAGAGGGGAAGGAATAAGAAAGGAGAATGAAGAGGGAAGGAAAAAGAAGGAAGGAGATTATAATGTGAGGGAGGGTCTGAGGGAAGTCCTGCCTTAGCACTTGGCCAACACAGGTGTCATGCCCCTGTCGGAATCTGATTCCGAGGGGGAAGCTGAAAGCTGACAGGGAGTGGGAGTGTGACTCTGTTGGCTGTGGAAGAAACTGGGGAAGGGCACAGTCCGGCTGGGCAGAGCAGGGGAGAGGTAATTCAGGCAGAGGGAATTCGGAGGAAGATCCACCCCCTCTTCATCCTAGAGCATGCAGGGAGGAACGGAGAAGAGAGCAATGTGAGTTGCGTGGCTTATGGGGGAGGAAAGGGCCCTGATTCCCTTCATTAACTGCAGCTGGGAACACAGTGTTTAAAAAGGGAGTTTGTGCACAGCAACTTGTTGGAAACAAATCATGTATTATCTTGTTTTGTCGTGGTTTATCTGGGTTCCTGGTGTCTTCCCAGCTGTGTGTGTCTTGTTGGCCTTTCAAGTCTGCAATTGCTTATCCTGCCCTGTCCAGTTAATTGCTGCAGCGTGGTTTGTGTGGATTTTTATTTACAGTTTATATGTACTTTGTTTTTGGACTGAATTTCCTCCACTTAAAGACTGTTCTTGGGAGAGTTTTTTCTCCAGCCAAAGATAGCTGGACATTGGGGGCAAAGTTGGAGGTATTAAAGGGACTTTTCTTCCTTATGTGTCTGTGTTGCTTTTGTGCCACACCCCGGGTCATCACAACAGGTGCCCCAACACGAGTGATGTCGGGCTGGCCACACCCATCCTGGCTGTGCCCCACCGTCCCCCCGAGGTCACATACATCCCTGATGCAGTCCTCAGTGAAATCTAGTTTGACACCCCTGGTACAGGGCTATCAGTGACCGACATTAATGGAAGAGACTATCATGGCTTATATCATATATATCAGAGGTGGTATTCAACAAGTTCTGACCAGTTCTGGAAAACCGATAGTGGAAATTTTGAGGAGTTCGGAGAACTGGCAAATACCACCTCTGACTGGAGATTTTACAGTATCCTTCCCCTGCCACATCCAGCAAGCCATGCCCACAGAACTGGTAGTAAAAAAAAATTGAATCCCACCACTGATATATATGCTTACATATGTTGAGACTAGACATCTCTTAATCATCAGCTAGCCTAGCCTTCATACAGAGATATTGCACTACAGATTTCTGGTGGTCCCAGACAGTTCTTGCTTCTCTTCAGCTCCAATTTGTTCCATTATTTAGTCAACTCACCGCTGAGAAAGGAAGACTGTCATTTTCTCTCATCCAGTCCCCCTGGGGGGGAAAATCTGTCACAGGCATTGATGTTTCTGCCTTGGCAAGTGTTATTAATACCTGCCTTGGCAAGTATTATTTTACATGCAGCTCAAATATTCATGATCAAGGTGTTGTTTATATATGCAGTAAGGCTACCAAGCACTTTAGTTGATTGTAGTCCTTTTCAAATTGATTAAATTTTATGTTACCAAATCTCAGTATAATTCCTTCTTGCGATATGCATGAATTAATAATCAAAAGTTCCCATCCGCTACTAGAAACTAAAGCCATATTTAATATTTTTCATTACAGTAATATACAAAATGGCACAGTAGAATGAAAGACTAAAACTGAAAATGTACTTTGATCTGATTAAAATTTGCCACACCAACTAATCCATTAATATTTTCATTGCACCTACCGATTAGAATTTTAACATTAACATTAATATTTGTTTTAAGGCACATGAGATTCTGATGAAACATTGCTATAACTTTAAAAGCCCAACTATTAAGACGTGGGAAAATACCCGAAGAAACCTAAATACCAGATAGATAGATGATAGATAGATAGATAGATAGATGTGTGTGTGTGTGTGTGTGTGTGTGTGTGTGTATACACAGACACACATTTATTTATAACTCAGTACAATTACTACAATAATCATAGTCATAATTTCATTTTTGCAGGATCTTCTCTTTGAAATACCACAATTTTAAAAAAATTGTGTCATAAACATTTACATTATCAGCATAAATCCAGATCTGATCCCTATTGTGTGAATTACTATGCATTTTACATCTCTATACCTAATTGAATTGCTTGCATTTTAGTCACATATTGGAAGTTAACTATATCTATTAACAACTGTTTCAGTTCCTGCTAAAAAAATACTCCAGTTTTACATGTTTAATCTAATTCCTGTTTAAAACACACACTGGTTAATTGTGTTGCACCCAGTCTTCTGGAGGGCTGTGAAAATGCTGTGCCAGATTGTTAGATGAATCCCATACAGGTGTAGTTTGTATGGCTGGTTCTGTTACATGGTACCTTGGCTACATACAATATCTATATAAATAGAAAACTGTTTGCTTAATATTTAAAACGCCGAGCTATTTGGAAACATCAACTAGCACAAGGGGTAAATATTCAGAGACCCAGAGAAATGCAGCTTTACATGCAGCAACTTTGAAATAACTTTGCATGAAAGGCCCACATTTATTTATTTTTGTTTGAAGTGACTAACTTTAGAATTCTTTTTCGCTCCCATTCTAAAGCTCTTAAGCTTCCAGTGCAGCAGTTTCTCAATCTGGGCTGACTTGTGGATTTCAACTCCCAGAATTTCCCAGCCAGCCACGACATCTTAAAGTCACCAAGGGTGGGAAAAGCACTGCTTTAGTGTAATAGCTTTGTACAAAGGGCATTTAATGGTAAAAGCCTCTGAATTCTTTCTTTCACAAGCTGACCCATTCACCACCAGGGTGTCAAACCTCAATCCCTCTCAGATAGAAGTACCAAAACTTGGCTACAGCCATTTTCTCTCTCATCACCCATTAAACTTCTGCTTATCTTTCAAGCTAGAGTAATACACTGGGAGTCTGGATTAACTTGTCCATCAGTGCATCACAAATTCAAGACCTGCCTTAGACAGCAAAGAAGTTGATTCACTACTCTAAGGAGATAATTGGGAGGTTAAGTGGGAAAAAAAAGGTATGTTATCAGATGAAAATGTGTTTCTACAGAAGTAATTAAATCTCAGGAACAATTAAATGAGCTCTGAAGTCAAGAATGCCATTAGCATGGAGGAGGCATTTAATCCAGGCCTGCAGTTACTCGGCAGGCCCTCCTACAATAGCTCCATGATTAACGATCATGTAGCCAGCGTGCTTTATGATACATTCCATACAGTAAAGCGTATGTAATTTAGGATATAAGGGAGCTTAGGTGGAAAGGAAGGATGGTATCTGTTTGAATTCCAGTTGCTGTTGGCAGCCCTGGATTTGAAAGAAAGAAAGATGGGAAACTCTTAGTATCTTTCTGTAATGGGTGAAAAAAGTTTAGAATTGGAGCCACTGATTTATGCAGAAAGTGTATATATGCATCAAAGTCTTTACAAATAGAATAGAATAAGCTGGAAGGGACCTTGGAGGTCTTCTAGTCCAGCCTCCTGCTCAAACAGGAGAACCTACTTCAGAGAGTAATTAGGACTGCAGAAAAAACAACTGCCACCCACCTGCCTTCCATGGAGGACCTGTATACTGCACGAGTCAAAAAGAGGGTTGTGAAAATATCTACAGACCCCTCACATCCCGGACATAAACTGTTTCAACTCCTTCCCTCAAAACGACGCTATAGAGCACTGCACACCAGAACAACTAGACACAAAGACAATTTCCCCCCGAACGCCATCACTCTGCTAAACAAATAATTCCCTCAACACTGTCCAACTATTTACAAAGTCTGTACTGTTATTACTATTAATCTTCTCATCACTCCTTATCACCCATCCTCTCCAGCTTGTGATTGTAGGACTGTAACTTTGTCGCTTGTATCCTAACGATTTTTGTTGACTGTTTCCTAGAATGATTCGATTGCTTTTTGTACCCTATGACTATTATTAAGTGTTGTACCTGATGATCCTTGATTCTAGATGAATGTATCTTTTCTTTAATGTATACTGAGAGCATTTGCACCAGGACAAATTCCTTCTATGTCCAATCACACTTGGCCAATAAAGAATTCTATTCTATTCTATTCTATTCTATTCTATTCTATTCTATTCTAT